CAGTTTTACTGGCCGTACATTTCTGTTTGGGTGTTCGTATCTGTTTTTGTGAATGTTTGGAGCTGTTGTCGTTGTAATTAAAGCTTAATAAAATCATCTATGGAATGTATTTCGTTGTAGTGGAAAGCAAGGTATAAAATAAATTAGGCTTGACTACTTATGAATGTGCCGAGTAATATATTAGTTATCGCACACATTCGTATCGTATTAATAAGGTATCAAAAAAATAATAAATAAAGTGCATGTGACGTATTTGTGGCGGTGTTTTGTTGATTGTTGTTTCCGTTTATGTAGTGCTGTAGTTGCTGTTGTGGTTGTGGTTGTCGTTGTCGTGTGTTCAGTAGCTCAGCTACTTGATCTTTTGTTGCTTTTGTGTTTGAGTTATTGAATTGGGATTCCCGTTCCCTACCTCCAACTAAGTACCTGAGTTTAAATGTCTAAAGACCATTTAAATCCTGACCTCCTGCTCATCCTCATCCTCTTGACTTTTACTTAAATTCCTGCCTTAACCTACTTTATATGGCTTTACACAGTTACGAACGTTTGCTTATCGTAGATTTTCGTAGATTTTAAATTACAATTTACGCGGATTGCTTCTGGTTTCCATCCATTTGTGAAGGCACTTTCTTCGTTGACTACCAAACGCGCTCTCACACCCTCTCTTACACTAACTTCTATAAAATGTTTTTGAGCTTAGTACATGTTGTGTTTAGCCTAAGACATCGTCATAATAGCAAATATTTCAACTTGAGGTAAATTGTTGTTTAAAGAGGCTAATTACTGACTGACTGACTGACTGACTGACTGACTGACTGATTGATTGACTGACTGACTTTATGTGTGGGAACCTGGTCTGAATCTGTTTTGGCACTGCTATAAATTACTATGGGTTTCCAAAGGATTCTTCCCCTTGATCCATGTACAGGCATCTAGTAAGAAGCTCTGCCATGATTTTTAAAGTATTCCCACGTGGACTTTTTAATTGTTAAACTGGTCAATAAATTGAGGGTTAATGCATTGTTTACGTCTGTACTGTATCTAGGGTGGTGCTCTGGAATGAATATCTATCGGTTAAACTCCACGCACATTACGCCGTGCATCAGGCTACAGGTAAAGGTAACGAGTACCGTTCTGGGCTCGTGTTCGTGTGCCTTTCCCTAGTAATATCTTAATATGGTCTGAGTTCTCGTTACTTTTTCATCTTACATATCCACTGAGTTGGCTGCTGCTACTACTACTGCTGCTCCCTGGCTATACATCCATTATATATGTATATGTATATGTCTATGTCTAGGTATATGTATGTATGTAGAGCTAGGCTAAACTATATATTTCGCTAATCCTAAACCGTTTCATTGTACAAGATTTGTCTTTCTTCTTTCGTTTTGTGGAATGTTGCAATTTTAAAATTGTATTGTATTGTATTGTGTAAAATCATTTTACTGATCACGTTGCTGTTGCTGTTGCTCTTACGGTTGCTCCAAGTTGTAGAAATTATAGATTTTCAAATCGGTTTTGTGTAAACAATTAATAACAAATAACAAAAAAAAAGTATAATATGTGAAATGGCGTAAATGTTTGTGCTTTGCAACAAATTGTTTTCGTCCTCTCGAACACCTTTTTCGAAATTTTTAGGCATCTTAAAACACTATTTCATTTTCGTATTTTGTTTTGTTTTGTTTTCTTGTTTGTTTTTTTTGTTTGTTTGTTTGTTTGTTGGTTGGTTTGTTAAAATTAATTTGGCACACTGATTCCGTTTTCCCGAGAGCATGGTGTGTGATTTCGTGCTTTACATAATTTTCTTCCATTTGATAATCCCTGATTCTGTTTAGATTTAGTTTTCTTCATGTACTCGTAATAACTGCTCAACTTTAACTCTTTATACACAATCACTTCATTTATCCTCCATTTATGAGAAGTGCGGATGCAGCTCCGTGGCACTAGCCAGGGCAGCCGCTGCGGCTGCCGCCACGGTTGCAGCAGTGACTCCTCCTCCGCCCACTCCACTGCTATCGCCATCTAGGGCTGCAGACCCAGCGAAGCTTTTCACATCCTCCAGCTTGAACTTCTCCTTGTGCATGCGCTCCATGTGGCGACCTATGTGCATCTTCTGCTTGGCCCGGTACACGCAGAAGGGACACTGGAACTGCGGTTCCTTTCCGCACTCCCATTTCTGGTGGTTCCGCAGCGAGGACTTCAGCTTGTAGACACGGCCGCAGACTGGGCATGGGTGTCCAGCACCATTGTCGGCTCCGCCCAGTGATCCGTTGTTATTGCCGTTGGATGGGGTCGCGCTCGATCCGGACCCAGCTAGTCCGACCACCGATCCGCCACCGGTCCCTGCCGTGCTGCCGCTAATCAAATTGTTCATGGCGCTGATGCTGTTCAGGATGTTGATATGGCAAAGTCCAGCTGGGCCGCCAACATCCGCAAAGGTCACGCCTCCACTCAGGTTGGCCTGGTAGTCGCTGCTGTTGCCATTCCCGGAGCTGGCCTGATCATCGCCGTAGCTCAGCTCGGCACTGGTGTTGGCCCCCGCCGCTGCCGCCGCCGCGGCCGCTTGCTTCTCGGCCACTGCCTTTAGCATCAGGGAGGTGGCTTCCTCCTCGGTGAGGTGCTTGAGCTTCCCACCACCGCTGGTCTTGTGGGGCTTTCCGCTGCTGTGACCGCTGTGGTTACGCGGCGTAGAGGCGGCACTGGGCTCGCTCTTGGGCACACAATCTGTGGGCGTATTTCGTTCACCGAGCGGCTCCTTGAGGACCAGGCTCTGGGTTTGCTTCTCGACAGAGAGGTCTGTGGGAAAGACCAGGGGCTGCACGCCTTCGCGTAGGGTGACCAGGGGCATTGCCAGCCGAGCGTTCCACTCGTTCCAGGTGAGTCCCGCAATGCGCGTAATACTCAGATCTAGTTTCGGTTTCGGTATTGGTTATGGGTTTTGGGTTTTGCAAATCGGGTTGATGGTTTTGTTGGTTGATTTATTGTTGTGTTTTTGTTGCATGTGTTTGTTTTTTTGGTTTTTGTTTGGTTTTGTTGGAGTGGGGGTGGGTGTGTCGCAGCGCACAAAATATGAAAATAAAAACGAGAAAAGAAAAACAAAAGAAAAGAAGAACGAAAATAAATAGTAATACTTTTGACTGGTCACAGGAACTGAAAGAAACCTCGATGTTCACTCGAGGAAAAACGATTAAGAACAAACATAACACAGAACGATATGGCAGGTCAGTTATCGGTTAGATCAAGCGGGGGAAACCAACACAGACACACGCAATTTGGTACGGAGGGGGGATAGGTTTTTGTTCGGGTGATCTGGATGAGGCGGCACACGAAAGGCAAAATTAAAAATCAAAAGAATTAGTCAAAGCATTGGATATGTGTGAATGGATGGATGGATGGATGGATACATTTGTGTGTATAGAAAGCATTAGGATCATGGCATGAATGGCAAATTAAAGTACAAATAATAAACATATATACAGAGAGGTAAAAGAAAACTCTTTCAAACAACATTGAGCAAAATTGAGGCCAATTAGTGCAGGGTGTAAACGTATTTATTTTAAATTAAATTTTAAAAATCAAAAAGGACAACTAAATTTATTGAACTGTAGCTGGAGTGCTGCTGGGGTGGTGGTGGGTTTTGTTGTAGTTTGGTTTTTGCTTGAGCACATCAATAGACACGGCTGGGATTGGATACAGGTTCAGGTTCAGGTACAGGTTCGGTTTAAGTCTGGTTACTTTTTAGTGGCATACAGAAACGAACGTTTAGGTCTTGGGCACTTGTATATATATATATATAAATATATGTACGTAATACGTATAGAGTATTGGAATAGCAATTGTCTCCTTTCACAACTTTTTTGCTTGTTTTACTTAAGTTTAGCTCGCATTTAGCTCGATTCGAGGCTCCAGATCAGTGTCCCTCCCTCCAGGTTCAATGGATCACCTAAAAGAAGAGAGAAATACATTAGTTATGCTCGGATCAAAACAGATGATGGGTCAGGCAGTAAAGACAGCTGGCTTGCTTGCTGATACGCGCCCCGTATCTGGTGGAAATCTCATCGGTCAGGTCACCTGCAAAAAGAGAAATATGTTAGTATGGATTCTGTACAAGGCTCTCCTCCGCCTGGCCACAAACATCAAAGCTTTGGTATTGTTTATTCTTTTTTATATAATTTTATTTTACCTTTTGTTTTTTACAACTATTCTTTCAAAACATAATTTCTATTTGTTTATATGTATACGTAATAAATGTTTATTTTCAATTGATAAAGTTTTACACACACAAACGTTTAAAATGTTTCTTATATTTCTTGTTGTTTTGTTGTTTGAGAAAGTATGCTAAAGTGTTGGGGGTTGTAAATTTGTAGATATACAATCAATTTAACTAAGTTCGGCTAGATCTGTCAGAAGGGTTTCGCCTCTCAATACGTATTTACGATTGAAATTTACCAAATCGGTTTTTTTTTACATTATTTATAGTAAATATATATATATAATTTTCTTGAAAACAAAGTTCTACAATGTTAATTTTGTAAGCCTCCAATTTAGACACGTTGGCAATTTATATTTTGCAACATTTACACAATAATTTGTCGGTTAGCTCCACTTAAATAGGTTACATCAAAATATTTGTGATATTTACCAAATGAAATCTGTGTGCTCTTATCTCCACTAAACAAAACAAAACAAAAATCAACTGCTTTTGCCTTCTGCCAGTTCCAGTTGATATTTTGATAGAAAACTTGGGGCTATTTAAAGTTTCTAGTTGGCGGTGAGAAGACACACACACAGAAACACGTTGCTAATTATAATTAATTAATGTTTTAAATCTACATACTTTCCATCTAATTGTTTTGTATATTCTTTGTTATTTCCATGAAAATACTTGCACATTGATTGACCATATTTCTCTTAAGATGCTGACTTTTTGGGGTTTTTGTGTGGTTTTTTTGTTGTTTTTTTTTTTTTGTAATTTTGTAAATTACGATGAATCATAATCATAATATATTATATTAATGTGAAGACGTCCAAATTAAAGCCTAATGAAATTGAATTGAATGCACACAGAACGGAGCTCTTTTGGTTCTTCCTTTCGAGAACTGGGGAAATCAACTCTCCAACTTAATAAAAATAATCAACAAATAAGAAAGTTAAGATTAAAAAGAGTTTAAACGAGAATAGGCTGATAAAATTGTAAAATTAATAAACTGGTCTAAAAGTCAAAGAACCTCAATGAATCATTTGTTTCCCCTCAACTTGTGTAGGTATACTCACTCCTGCCCCCCCGGGCTGCGCTCCTACATCCGCGCTTACTTGCGACCTCGCTTGCTCTCCAGCTGCGGCTTCTCCGGATGGTGCTTGCGTACATGGACCCCGAGATTGCCTCGCTGTTTGGCCTTGTAGGTGCAGTAGGGACAGGGATGACACGGCTCCTTGCCGCCGCACTCGACGTTCTCGTGACGGCGTAACGTGGACTTCCAGCGGTACTTCTTGCCGCAGTGGCGACAGATGTAGCGCGACTCGGGATCATCGCAGGGACCCAGGGACGAGTCGCTCAGCGACAGTTCGTAGGTCATGCCGGAGGGGTCGCCGCCAGCATCGGACTCCTCCTTCATGGGTCGTGTGGTAAGAATGGTGTAGCTCTTGCTGGAGTCGTGCATGCCCATCTCTTCGGGTATGATGGTCTCCACATCGTCCTCCTGCAGCTCGATGCTCGAGTGGTGCTGGTGATGATGCTGCTCGTGGTGGTGGTGGTGCTGCTGCTGATCTGTCTGCACCACCGTCTGGATGTGGTGCGTCTGCAGCTGTGTGGCATGAATGTGATGCGTCTGCGGCTCGTGCTCGTGTTGGTGTACGGTGTGCAGCTCCTGTGGCTCGTGCTCGATGGTGGTTATGTGCGTCTCCCCGCCAGACGTCTGCATATGCTCCGTGATCTCCGAGGGAGCGAAGCCAATGCCAATCTTGGTGCCGTCCGGCAGCTCAATGTCGTCAATCTCGGCATACTTCACCAGGTCACTGATCATGGCCGCCGACGCATTCGGATTGTTCAAATCGATCTCACTAATCTCATACTTGGTGCCATCCGACATCTCGTGGTGCTGGTGCTGGATGCCATCATGGGTCTCCACTATCTGCAGATTGCTCATCGTCGGCCCAATGATCTTGCCACGCGTGTAGCGTATCCTCGAGGCGATGTTCGGCTTCTGTTCCGTCAGCTGTACGTTGCGCAGACCCACCAGATTAATTGTCTGCCCCGAATGGGATGTGATTATGTTTTGTACTTGGGCATGCGTCGGCTGGCTCTGCAGCTGGTGATGGTGCTGCTGATGCTGGTGTTGTGAGGTCTGGGGCACTTCCTCGATCTGGATATGCTGGTGCTCCTGATGCGACTCCTGTGGCACATGCTGGATGATGTGATGTGGGTGTATGATGGTCGAGCTTGTGTGGGCATGATGGGCTATAGTGGTGGTGGTTGGTATTATCTTCTTAATGTTGATTAGTTCTGGAATTGGACGTAGAAGTGGAGATCGTTCATTAGTACGATTGCCAATGTTTCAATTTGTTCGATTTCAGGTAATTTCCAGGAGAAACTGCCTCACGAGACTAGGGAAACTGGTAGCCCCTAAGGACCTGCATACGATTGCAATGAATATCAGTTTAAATCAAGAACTTACCGCATTCCGATGAGGGCAGCTTAATGGGAGTGCTGGTGGTCAATGCGCTCAGCGTGGGCTTGACATCCGAGTGAGCGGCTGCCGCATTCAGGAGCTCCGTGATGGTGGGCGTGGGCTGGCCAGCCGGTCCGGTGACAGTGACCGCTGCTGTTGTTTGTACTGACGATCCCTGATCCTCATCGGTGCCCAACTTGGCCGCCGTGATGTTGCCCAACTTCTTAACGTGCAAGACAAATCCGTCCTTGTTCTGTGTGATGACAATATCGTTGCTCTCCAGTAGGCAATCGTCCAGCTCGAATTCGTCGGGAGTGCTCTCGGTCTGCTCGCCCTTGTCCTGTTTGGAGGCTGCAGAATGGGGGGAGGTGCTGGATTAGTGAGTGTTTGGGGAGTACTATTTTACCGCTTAGTGGAAGTTATGCTCAGCTCAAAAACGTCTTGAATCCTGTCACAAAGCTTTTCTTCTTTAGGTTCGTTTTATTTTCATTTGAGTTCGGCAAAAACAAGCAATCAATTTTCGGTTTCCAGTGTTTGAGTTTTCGTTTTCGTTTGGTTTGGTTTTGGTTTTGGTTTTTAGTCTTAGCACTAGGTTGATATTGTATTGGTAGTTTAATATGTATGTGTATGTGTATGAGTGTGTGTGTGTGTTGAGTGAGTTGTGTTTGCTGTACAGCACAATAAAATGAGAACCAGGACAAACAAAATACCACAGCCAAATATAAAAAAAAAGGATAAAACCCGTGCCCCTAATTATGCTTAACTAACTTAGGGACTACAGTAGAATTCAATAATGACACGTTTCAATTTTGGTTACAAATCGTATTTTTATTAACATTAAGGCGCTTCGGCTGTCTCTCATTTCTCTCCTCTCGCTTCTCCCTCGCTTTTGCTTTTCGCTCCCAGACAACTTACCTGCATGCCACATGCGCTCAGTCAGAGATCAATTCACAAACTATGTATTTATAATCCTATTTCAACTAGCCTTCCGCCCACCCCCCTCGAACAGGCCCCGAGACAGAGCCTGTCCCGCCGGAGCATCGCTGAAGTGCTCCGGGTGCTGTGTCTTCACGTGCATATTGAGGCTATGCTTGTAGCGCGCCACGTACGAACAGTGCCGGCACATCTCGGTGGGCGGGCGACCGCACTCGTAGCGCAGGTGCCGCGAGAGGTTCTTCTTGTAGGTGTAGGCCTTCTCGCAGCGCGGACAGATGTGCGAGCCGGACGAGGAGGCCAGGTTGTTCAGCGAGGTGACCGACTTCACGGACAGCGTCCAGGCGTTCTCTACAAGAATTGGGAGAAAGAGACAATAGGTTAGCGAATGCGTTACTGTTCCAGATTCTCATTTAAACTAAGTCGGAGAGGTGTACAAAACTCGGGAGGAATGATGGTAAATGATATATGTATGCATATGTATCGAAGTTCTATAACCACTACCGTTCAATCAACGCCAGCCAGCGATAGATAGTTATAGCAGCGGAAAGGTACTGAATGTCTATTGGCAAATGCTACGAGAAGGCTGCAAACTACTCTAACCCGAAGGGGCAGGTAAACAAGTAATCAAATCTTACCATTCCGGACACACACACTAAACACTCATTTAGATATCAAAGTAAAATATACATATGTATAGGCAATGGTCAGAGCAGTAGGTTGTGATCCACAGTTGCAGTTAGCAATGGCGCCCCCACCCCCCAGGAGGGCGCCATTGACCTGACTCTTGTGGCGATCTAGACCAAGAGAGCTGCTCGCACATCTGTAATTATATAAGGAGATACGATAGTGATTAATTTGCACGGAAACACTTTACAGGCGGCTGCTGCCCCGATCTCAATCAGTAATACAATTATTTTCTTTTCTTTTTGGGGTTTCAACATTTCAATATCAATCTTTATTATTCTTGTTGTTTTGTTTTTTTTTTTTGTTTTGGTTTTTTGTTGTTTTTTTTTTTGTTTGTTTGTTTCTCTGTTACCACTTTCATCGAACAATGTGTATATAAACGATTCCACATACAATGCCATTTCGTTCAGTTTTTGCAAAAATAACAATTTTTAGGGGTATTAAATGGGGTTTCACAATTTCTTGAAAAATGAAAACCGAATCTCAATTGGTTTGATTTTCTGTTTTTGTTTTTGTTTTTTTGGTTACATCAATTTGTTCTTTTGTTTGTTTAATGCTATCGTCTGTTATTACAATTATTAATAATCGTTAATTGGTTTTGGCTTTTAAGGTACTAACAATATCATCTCTCCATCAATGTATGCTGTTTTTTTTTTTCGGTTTCGGTTTCTCATTGTATTATTAATTTGTATTGTTGTATAAATTTGTTTCATAATTTCGCCTTTTCCGTGGTTTTCGTTAACAATAAATATATGTATATATATACCATCATTTTTATCAATTTACTTGTTTTTTGTTAAATATTACTCTACAAAAAATAAACAACTTCCGTTCGTACAATTAAATTCTCCTTCTTCTACACGTTTTACTCCTTTTACTCCTCATTTTATTCTTGGTTGTTTGGTTGCTGTTCTGTTCATTATTGTTTTTGGTTTGACTATATATAGTGTGTGTATATATATGTCCATTAGACTGTTATGGCAATTTCTTTGTTTCAAATACACATTTACTAAAACGTTTCTTGTCTGCTTGGTTTTGCTTGTTCAGTTTTTCTAAAATATATATATATATATATATATATAGATATATATATATATGGTATATGTATATGTCCTTGTATATATGTGTGTGTATATATATATATATTTTTGGTTGGTTTCTTTGGAGTATATTTTGTTCATTATTTTGTAACTTATATAGTTTTAAGCTAATTTTTTGTTTTGCTCGTTTTTCATAAACGCCGTCTCTTACTCGATAAATATTAATTAACAATATAACAAAAGTTAAAACATAGGGAGTTCTCTGGTTAAATTAGTGTGAAACGATATATTTGTATATGTGTAAAACAGTGTTAAAACTAATTTAAAGAAAACGATTCAACAAAAGATTTATCCGAAACATTTCATGTCCCATACTAGTGTGTGTTCGTTTCGTTTGCCTATAACTTTAACAGCAGAAATAATAATAATAATTTAGCTACTCGCAACAAATCTTAGTGAATTAGTTTAACAAAAATAAACACATAAATAATGCAGGTAATCGGATAATAGTAATTCTCAAATAAATTTCAACTAGTTGGAAAACGATTCTTTCCCCTATTGCCTCAATCTCCGATGGCTTCAAAGGTCCCCGCCCCGCCCTCCCTCCTACAATCTGTCTTGATCGCCTTGAGTTTTGGATTTTAAAAATTGTTCTTTATGAGACTATTCATTTCAGAAATTGACTTTGGCAAATAGTGGCACAAGACAAACCGTCGACACGAACCTTTGAAATACTCGTATTATTGCACTTCGATATTTCTGTTTGATTATTTTTGGCAAAATTTGTAACCAAATTGAATTGAATCAATCAAAAACTTGCCTTTGGTATTAGTATACATATGTATATGCATTGCGGGGGGAAGTGAACAAGTTCTAACGCTGATCGACTCAAGCTCCAAAAACTCCACTGACTAAGGGATCTAGGGACGAGTGATCGACACGCTCCGATCAGCTAGAGGAGAGGAATGATCTTGATCTTCCGCGACAATTTTCGGTGGATTGGTAGGTATATATAATAGCTTTCTACATGCACATGTATATGGTATATGGTTGTTTCGAATCAGATTCACTTAGCACACAAATTGGTCCGCGTAAGCGAAGGGGGTCAGCGTTTCGTAGGGACAAACAGACGGACATGACGGTGCTGATGCTATCCTCCTAAACGATCGATTCAACCAGTTCAGGGTGGCATGGGAGCTATTCGTCGACCAGGTATGACTGCAGTTAGTAGTTCTCTATAATTGATTTTCATTCGTTTTATATACCGCTCTTAATGGTACGTATAATTTGTCTAGTTAATTCGAGTTCATATAGTTTTCAATGCTTCTATTGCCGTTTCTGTTTCTGTTAATATACTTATATATATATGTATATACATATATATATATTCTGTTTATTGTACTGTCATAAATTTGTGTGTGTGGCTGTGTTTATCATATATGTATATGTATGGTTTGTTTATTATCTGCAACCCAAGGATTAACAATCAACAAGCAACAAACAATATTATCCTCGCTCTATAGATACTTATGTGTATAGACAGATGTACATACATATATACACATATACATATACATATATATAGTATATACAACAGATCTATAACACTCCCTTCCCCTGGTTCCTAACTATAAAATATTTTAGTTGCCTCCGCTTAGGTTATACATACAATATATTCTCATATAATTTCAATAATTTATCTGTTAGTTACATGTACATATATTAAAATTTGTTTGATAATGGCACTCTCATAGCATTTAGTTGTCACTTTTCAACAAAATTGCACTAAATCAAAAGCTAACAAAGAAAAACTAAATTACGCTTTTGCAACAGAATCCTCGTCGTTCCTCTGCGAATACAACAAATCATACTGGTTGTACATACATATATGTTTATATATGAGTATATGGGTCGATCTCTTCTATGGCTTTATGCAGCATTGAATTTTTGCAGTTTTTCAGTTTTGGTGGAGAATTTCTAATGGCACAAAATGTTATATTTCTTGTTTCTAGTACAAAAACTTGCTATCCAATTGGCACACACACTAACACGCTCTCCTCTATCACACACATACACACACACACGCACACTAACACGCATACATATACACTTGATTAGATCTGGCGATGTGAGTATATAAGTTACAGACTTCTTTCCGCCTGACTTCTTTTTTGTTTTAACAATTACAACATTCGTTTTCCCCTCTATATTCCTTTTCTCAACAGACAACATTTTGCTAATATAGCAGTATATATAGTTCTATATACATATATATATATACAATATATATATATATTTATATATGTATGTATATGTAGATGTGTTGGTTTTATATGTATATGTTTTGTATATATGTATATAAACTCTTTCTTCTATTTTTTGTTTTTTTGTTCTTGGAACCATGTAACAAATCTTCCTGCAATACTATCTCCTCTCCTCTTCACCCGACCTCTGACTTTATAAAACTCACGTGTATATGTATATATCCTTTGCTGTGTATATAGAGTGCACGGATGACTCACCTCTACATACACAGCATGTGTGTTGGTGTGCCTATGTACTGGGAGGATGGATCTCTGTCTCCGTCTCCGTCTCCGTCTCTGTCTCTGTCCCACACAAAACTAACAACAGATTACATACTCATAACGTATATGGATTACGTTTCGTTACGTTGTTTTTATGATTTTCTTG